GCGTGCGGCGGGCCTGGGAACTGCTGCGGGGGCGTCGAGGGCATGCAGAGGAGCAGCCCTGACGGCGCAGGAGAGGCTCTTCCCGGAGAGCTAAAGTGGAGGAGGGACCTTGTTCAGGAATGGAGGAAGCGCTGGGGGCTGGGGAAGCTGGAGAGCTGCCTTCCCCATCTCTGCAGCGGAGCCGCGCTGGAGACGTGAGTGTCTCATCTGCCTGGAGCTGCCTGGTGCAGAAGGGATCCCGGGACTTTTCCTCTCTGGGGAAAAGTTGCAGTGGGAAAAGTTGCAGTGGGAACATGTTAAACATGCATCTGCTCGGTTTGTCCGGCCCTAACGAGTCCTGTAGTGAAGTTACTTGAACTTCTGTCCTTAGCTTCTTTGAAGACTTGGAGAAGCGACACCAGGAAAACCCCCAAATTCCTGACATAAGCGACATAGTGGAAGAACACGCCTCAAACCACTTCAATCCTTACGTCAGCTACTGCTCCAATGAAGTCTACCAGCAGAGGACCCTTCAGAAGCTGCTGTGAGTACGGCTGTGCCCTCAGGCTTTGGGCTTGTTGCCTACAAGGGGTCTCGGGTCTCTGGCTGGCCGCAGGCAGGGCAGGCGGGACCGGGACCTGCTCGGGGCTCCTTCGTCCTGTGGTTTCTTCCTTTTCCCTGTGGAAGGCATTCTCCTTTCTGAGCAGAGTTCAACTTCTAGACCTCAGGGCGTCTGTGTCGGGTGATTAGGATGTGAGCTGTGTTGTGCTGTGAGAAAGGTGGAGAGAGGGGATAAGTGGGAGTAAGGCTGCCACACACCAGGGTCAGACGGGTCTTGCCAAGGTCAATAACACGTTCGTGGTGTTAGGGACACGTGAGGGGGCTGCTCATCTCCACATCCTGCTGGTGGTGTAAGTCAGGTTTGTGTCTGCTGTTGGTACAGTTTTACCTGACTCTTGATGGACTCAACATCTCCAGGTGCTTTCCCAGCCCCTGCTAACGGATCAGCCCATTTTCTACCCCAGCTGTGAGCTCTGAGCTTGGCAGAATGCTGCGGAGCACTGCAGCCAGTGCCGTCACTGCACTGCCTTTCTCACGTGTGGAAAGCCGCTGGAAAATCTTGATAACTAAAGAACAGAGTTAATGGAGCTTTCTTGTCCTGTTCCAGAACCACAAACCCCTTATTTAAAGAGACCTTGAAACAGATTGAAAGGAAACCAGAATGTGGAGGCCTGCCAATGATATCATTTCTCATTCTCCCTATGCAGAGGGTAACACGGCTTCCTCTGCTCTTAGATGTAAGTAAGTGACACAGTGGCATTGCTTGGTGCCTCTGGAGAGGTGACTGTGTGACACCCTTCTTTGGTTTGCTGAGCACGTGTCACATTCTGAAAGCCCAGGGAAGCGGTTAACGCTCAGGTCTTTATCTTGCAATGTCACTAAAGCATCTTATCTTGAAATTCTAGACAGTGTGTCAAAAAACAAAAGCGTGCACTGCCGCGTACGGAGCTGCCACCAGAGCTCTGAAAGCCATCAGCAAGGTGAGGCCCTGCGCCAGCTCCCCGCTCCCAACATGCCGTTCCATTGCTCGGGCCCTGAGCTGCCTTCCTGGCCTCTCATTCTCCTGCCTGCATTGCTTCACTTGAGATCCCTCTGCTCCAGATAGCTGCTGGACATACACCTCTTCTTCCTTGCTTGCTTTTTCCGCCTGATCTTGTTTTCTCCTTTTTCTTGGCATATTTTCTCCTTCGCTCTTTGGCCCATCTTTTGTCCTTCGGTGTTGTCTTCTCCATTAATGCTCTCCCTTCTCGGAACCTCCCTCAAGGTGATCGCTCACTACGACATTTACTTGGTTCTTGGAGATTTAGGCAAAGAGAAAAGCACAGAGCAGCGGAGGTGGTGGCCGGTGTGAGCCGGCGTGGTTCATGCTCCTGTGTCTCATCTCCATCCACTTCCCCATCCTGTGGTTGATTATGGCCACCGACGTGGCTTCTGTCCTCCCCTCCACCTGTTGGATGGTTCATCCTCCTGTCCTTAACCTCCTCTCTTCAGGTGCTTTATTCTTCTTCATGTTGCTCTTCGGTGAATCTTGATTTTGGTGCCGTTTCGCTTTGGTCCTTCTTCAGGCAGAGCGACCATGCCAGCTCTCTCCTGGAGGTCTCTCGTGGCAGGAGAACCTCCAGCTGCCTTTCCCCAAACCTGTGTCGGGACGCGGCTGTTTCTCCGCTCAGGGAAGTGGGGCAGCTGCCTGCGCCTTTGCCGGTGGTGCTGAGGATGGCTCCATCCTGCCATTCCTCACTTGCCCGGTGTTGGTTTTTTTTTCCAGCTGGTTAAGAACTGCAATGAGGGAGCTCGTGCAATGGAGAGGACAGAGCAGATGTACACCCTGCAGAAACAGCTGGAATTTGGAAAGAAGAAGGTGAGGTCTAATGGAAGTGGTGGGGGGAGATGTTCTGGGCTGTGCTGATCCTCCCAGGAAGCCTCGAGCAGCTGGAGCATCACTGCTGCCAGGAACAGCATCCCCGTGCTGCACCCAGGGTGATCCTTTTTTCCTGCTGTTCTGACTTAAATACAAGC